AAAAAAAGCTATTATAAAAGCCATCTGCTACCTGCTCTTTCTGTGCAATCTGTTGCTGTTTTGTTAATTCTGTTAACATGATATAATTTAAAGAAGAAAACATACTTCATTGCAATTTGTGCAATATGAATTATTGTAAAGGAGAGATCAAAATTAGACAATAAATAAATAATAATAAATAATTATAAATTTCTTTTTAAAGTTATGGATTATATAAATGAATCCAGCCAAAGTGCAGTTTATGCCGTTTGTCAGTGGATGTCTCTGTTCGCTCAAATGAGTCGAGGTTTATATCAGGAGGAGCTGTCACATTAGTCAGAGATGACACACGTTTATACTGAGCAAATGAGGCAGACGCAAATTCAAACTAAAGCGGACGTGGAATCAGCAAATTCAGCAGAGTGGGCTTCAACTTGTTCCATTGTGTGTTCTCATTCAGATACTAACATGTTAATTTATTTAATGTAAATATGATTTTAGTGATTATTCACTGTGGACTTTAAATTGAGATTTTATTGGAAGTGAAGGTTACAATTTCTTTGAAGTGCATGCTGCACATAATTTAACAGAGTACAGATACAGGCAGTAATCAGATTAAGGCATCAATTCACTCTTTTATTTACAATTATGTTAACTAGCTGTAGAAACAGGAAGTTAGATGAGGGTTTCTCTCTCTCTCTCTCCCTTTCCTGTTTATCTGGGCTGACACTTAAACTGAAATGGTGGTAAACTGTAACACTGAACTTTTTTACATCAAAAAGTCAAGCCACCCTCCATCCTCAGAGCAAATACATATATAAAAATGAATCATTACGTGTTTATATTACAAAGCTAAACAAACGAGCTTCCTTGCATTGTATGTAAGTTTTAGCCTTTAAACATCACAACATACATTGTACTTTCAGGATCTTGCCTACGACTCATTTTCTTTGCACTGAGGTATCGTTTATGTCCAGAACAGACCTCACACAGGTTGCAGTCGAAGCATTAGTCGAGCAGTAAACTCTCCTCATTAAAATGTTGCTGCTGTCTGTGAAATGAGGTCAGTAAATTCAACATTTAATAGAAATGCTAGTACTGTAAATTCAGTTTTAAGTGTAGATGTTCCACTGTTTTCATATGGTTCACACATTAGACGGTCAGCCTCTTGCCCTTCCTGTCAGAGGAGATCAACGGAGCCTCTCTGATTCATAGTTTTAGGGAATGTCCATGTCGCCATTAGAGGCGTGGGAGTGGCGTTTCTCTAGATCACATCCAGCTCTGTTGTCAACGTTTTCTTTGCTTTCCTCGTCCTGATCCTCCGATCCTGATCTCCGTCTGAGACGCAACCCGGGATCTCTCTGTGTCGGGATCTGGAAGCTTGAGTAAGAGCTCCCCAACGACGGTCTCTTCTCTAAACGCAAAGACAGGCACAAAATAGATAATTCAGAAAATGCTTACAGCAGGCAAATTGTGTCAGTAAGTTAGAGAGGAAGATGCTGAAATAGAGAATTTGCTAGTTTAAAAATAAATGAACCAGGAAGTATATTTACAGAATATCACCATCATCTGTTTATTCAGTAATCTAAGAAAATGGTGTCACACTAGTCCTTACTTGAAGCAACATTAAATGTCAACCCAACTACAGCCATGGCATTTAACAGTGGCATTTAGTAACCTACAGTACATTCTGGGGAAATAATTACTGTAATAATTAACTATAGTGGATGGAAACACGCAGTATTTCACATTAATTTAGCTGATTTTCTGTAAATTTGGTTAAAATTAGCGCTAAATTTGGATGAAAACTTGGCAATAGCAGGAAATGCACAGGTGTTACTAAAAACATTAATGATGGCTCCATTTTATTCAAATGTCCCAGTGAGTCACAGCAGTGTGACAGTGAGCCTGCGTGCACAATATCAGCCATCATTAGTTTTATTATTTACATGTGCAGAAGGGGACACATACCGCCTGGTCCGATCGGTCGCATCAGTCTGTTCATCTGGACGTTCCAGTGTTTGACGTTGGTGCTCGCCTGGCGAAGTTTCCTCTGGGCAGCCTGTCAGAGAACACCTGTTAGCATTAATGCTAACCACAACTAATAAATATCAGTAATAAGAATCTTCTCACACCAAAGTTATAAAGTTCTGTCCCATTAAAGAGAAAAACATACTGACAGTTATAATACAGGGGCATGGACAGCAGACGAAACATCCCACTTACTCGTCTGTTTAGTTTAATTAATGTCTGTGTTATACTGCTCTCTCTGCAACTACATGCCGCCATCTTGGCTCTGTCATCTTTGTAAAGGAGATTTTAAATCTCAGCGGGCTCTCACCTGCTTAAATGAAGGTTTACAAAACTGAATAAATTAAATTAATTAATAATAATGAACTCATAATAGGGTTGTAATTCAACTTAATAGGTGTACAACATAAAAGTCAAGTCCAAACAGCAGCTGATAGCACCTTTGGTCTCAGTTAAATGTATTATAATGTATTTTTTGGTTCTTACCACTACGTCCTGGTCAACACGGTGCCGGTTGGCGCGGACCTCCTCCAGCTGTCTCTGCGCCTCGTCCAGGGACCGGGATTTGGCCTCCATTTCCTGTTTCAGTTCCTGTTTCTCCCGCTGTGTCTTCAGGATATACTCCTCTTGTTCCTCCTGCAGGGACATCAGGGCCTTCATTTTCTCCTCCTCTTCAGCCAATAACCTGGATGGAGAACACACAGAAAATAACATTTTCTAAAAGAAATGTATGATCAGGCGCATTATTAATATTAGACCTGTACTGTATATTCACAGCATTATGTCTATATCCTTTAAATCGTCCAACCCATACTGCTGCTGTGCATTATTTATTTGCACACAATGCAACTACTTCCCGCTGTGACCTGTGTACATATAACTCTTATTCTATTTTTTCTATTTTTATTATATCTTGTATTTTGCTTTTCTATTTTTTATTTAATGTGCATTTTCTGATCTATTGTGTTATATCTGGAGCTGCTGTAGCGAGTAAAGTGGGATCTTTAAACAGACATGTATGTCGTATTTCAGATATTATAGTGAGCACAGAAGCACACTGCCTGATGCTGAAGCTACTTCTAGATTTATGTGATTGAGTGTTTTACTTGAAAAGTTTGAGAGCACAGAAACAGCGACACAATAGATCTGACTGATGGTAACATTAAACAACTTCCTCTGTTGGCAGCTCAACTTCCTCAGGAACATAACGCAACATGAACTCCTTTTTGCAGCTGAGCTTAATATCTGCCGTCTGCCCACAAATGCACCTCCCTTCTTACAGCTCACAGATAAATGTCTGACTTCTTATGGCGCTGTGAAAGTGTTAATAGTCAATCTAATCACGTGTTATCGGAGATGGGTGGCGATATATAACACTCTACCCTGCTTGAGCATAGCGGAAGGCCTCCTCATCCAACCGGGCTTTGATCTCCTGCTGCAGCGCTTCCTCCAAACGCTTCTGCATCTCCTCCAGTTCCTGGATCCTCTTCCTCTGCCTCTCTGCTTCCTCCTCTTTCAGAGCCATCTCTGCCTGCATACTGACCCGGGCCTAGAGATACACAGCAAGAAGCACAGGAATCAACACTGAAATCTTTCTGTGACTGAATTCGAACTCTTATTTTCTACTTCTTTGCCTCCTCTCTCACCTCCTCAGCCTCTCGCAGTTGGATCTCCAGAGCCCGCTGGAGTTGTTCATGCTGCTGGCGCCTCCTCTGCTCATCTTGCTCCAGGAGGGCCTGAGCCTGCTTTTGCGCCTCCTTCAGGAGGTCTAGCTCTGCCAGCTTACGCTCCCGCTCCTCCTGCAGGGCCCGGAGCCTCTGCAGCTCCTCCTCCTTGGCCTGTTGTCTCTTCTCCCGCTGCTCCCGATGTTCGCGTCGCTTCAGCTTCAGATCTTTGTGGAGGGACGTTTTCCCTTCCACATGCAGCCTGATGGCTGTTTGAATGGCTGGGAAGAAGATGAAGATGACGCTTTTAAGATCAATCCATGACTTATTAGTGATCGGTATCAGCAAATATGAGTCTCCTCTGACCTGTAGTCCACTCCTGTCTCTGTTTGGTGTCTGAGGCGCTCATCTCATAAGTCTTGGAGAGTGTTTTCAGACAAAACATGCACCTCTTCCCATCCCGGTCTGGCAGCACCTTTTCAACAAGTGAAACAGTCAGTTTATCAATGATTATCCCTTCATCATACATTGTTTTTTTTGTTTTCTTTTACATTTGTTATGACCATTTCTTAAATATACAGTTGTTAGTAGAAAAATGGTAAACTCACTGGGAAAAGGATGTTTTTGATCCATTTTGTACGACCAAACAATATTTGATCATCGTCTACTTCCTATAATAAAGCATGATTTTAGAATGATTGCTTGTTTTCCTTTGGAGTAACACATGTGTGTGTAGTGCTCTTGCTCAAACAAATAACAGAACTTATCCAGATTTCTGTTTGTCATTATTTAGCGTGGTACCACGTGGCATTGATGGGCTAATAATTGACTTGTGTTAACATCAAAAGCCAGCAAAACAGCAAAAACCCCTCGACTCCAGCTCTACTACTATAGGCTCCATATTCAGAAAGGGTCATTCATGAGCGTGAGGCTGGCAGACTGAGTCCAGTTCACTTGAGCTCTGTGAGGAAATCTCAAATCTGATTGTGAAACGAGGTTCAATATCCAACTGTTGTTCTTTTTATAAACTTGATGGTTCCCAACCTTTTTTGGAGTATAACACCTCAATGAGAAGCTCTGTCTACTCGGGGACTGTTTGAAACGTAATGGGGGTAGGGAAGTTCAGAAAGGGGGAGGGTTATGTATTTGTTCTCCTTGCTGAAAGGAGGGAAGTCTAAATTCTTTGGTAAAGAGGGGGGGAGGGTCTTTGATGATTAGTGACACGTCATTTGTCACTATTCAGCAACTCCCACCTTCACTTTAATATGAATCATAACCCACAGCCCAACAATAGTAGGGTAAAATGTTTAAAATGACACACCTATTGAGTCAAAAAAGACTGTCTGGGATATTTGGTAAAGTAATTGTACTTTAATTGCAGGTGTGGGCACTATCTGAATATTATAATTATTCCATTAACTTGCTAAATGGGAACTCCACTGACTTTACAAATCAAAGTTTTGAGGAGTCCTAGATGTAGTTGTATAAAGCTGTAAGAAGCCCTTTATGTTTCCAGACTGCGTGAAATCTGATAAATGGTTTGGAGCTGAAGACCAGCTTTGAAAATGAAACAGATCTGGGTTGTGGAGTTAGAAAGAAGAGCGTTTCCCAGTCCCTGTAGCCGACTCCTCACCCCTGCTTGAGGCTACATTCGCTGCATCTAGCTAAAGACACCTGAAACTGTCAGTGGTTAAGTTGCACTGTGGATAATGTGGTTGCCATGTTATGACACAGAAGAGAAATACATGGAATAAATTTGATCCTTTTTTATGAACATTGTGAGTCCGACAATTTTATAGGAGCGCTCAGTGGAGTACTCTTTTAAAGTTTAGTACATAATCTTAAATTATATGTGCACTTTAGGAAATAAGAGAACTTCATGTTCTGTGTTCCTCCTCACCCCAATAATTTTCATACAGTCCATTATGACTCCTGGTTGCACATGTCTGTTCAATTCTTTTATGTGAACTATGTGAGTCCTGAAGAGCTAACATTTCCTGTAATTTACAAGAAAACCCAAAGACATGAAACAAACATCTCTTAACCAACGTGTGAACCTCTCAGCTTCATCTCGCGACACCTTGGGGGAGTCCCCACCCCCAGGTTGGGAACCGTGGGCTTAAAGAATGAGAATTTGACTCAAATGTACAAAAGAAAGCAAATGAGCAGTATGTATTTCTTTTTTTGGACAAACTAACAAAGAAAACATTGTTATAAAAAGTTCTCTCAGGTGTTACCTGCGTTTGAAAGATGATCACCTCCAGCTGCTTACCTCCACACAGCAGTTCCCATCCAGAGCGATGTTGCCTTGGCAGTCCTTGCGGTCCTCCCCGGTGTAGTAGGACAAGTTGCTTGGCCTTAAGGTGAACCATCGTTCCTTCCAGTTCCTCCTCAGTTGGCCTTTCTTCCACAGATAACCCTGTATGCACCCCGACCGACACACACACCGTCACTGACACAATGCCGAGCATGTCAGGAACCAAAACACAGACTTCTAGTGGCAGATGGGTCTCCTACCTCTTTGAGGACATCGCCAACTATCTCCCTGTATACTTCTTCTATAGCCATGCTGATTATGCTCTTCTCAATTCCCCTGGTTATCTTTCCCGAGTTCATCATCTCCAGAAAAATCCAAACAGTAATGCCGCTCTGCTGCACTGAGTCTTGGGAGAAGAAGTCCTCTAATTCTACACAGTTGAACTCAATACTCATAGCCATGCAAACCTTCTTGAGGAGGTACTCCACCTGAAGAGGAAAAGAAACCCACAATCTTGAGAGTCAGAAAAAAGGTTCATTTGAATGTCTTTGGTGCATTATACTCAAGGGAGGAAGTACCCAAGTAACTGACTAATTAAGGCAGTTATCTCTTTGAAAATTATCAAATACTTTTTTCCTGTTGTTTGTTTTTTTTTGGTACTGACTTTTATTGCCCATATCAAAATTAGCTTTTATTTATATTGATTCTTAATTAAACTATTTAATTAAATTAAACTTCTTAAGCTACTAACTACTTAAGTAACGGTATTTATGACACTAGTACTCAATACACCACAGATTTCTTTGTTCTGTGGTCGGTGTGTGAAGCATGTAGCAAAATAGAACTGGATAATGTTGTTCTTAAACTCAGCACGATAGAAACTATGCTGCCCTTGAAATTTAGGTCTTTCTCTTGGCAGCAGCTGTGAAAAACACACGACAGGAAACCAAAACGAGAGGTTGCAAGTGAGAAACAAGCCCACACTGCTGCATGAAAAGAGCAGCGTGTTCCATGATGGTAAGAAACAAGGTTTCAGCCAGGGTATATTTTGTGGTTGTCAAAGATCCAACACCATTTTTAGGTCACAGATTACTGACTACAGTCTACAGATTGTACCCAACAACAGAGCACAATAACTTGAAATATCCATGTGGTTAAATTTAGAAACGTCAAAGTGTCACTATCATCACACACCACCACGATCAACAATGACTTCAAGATGTGCAAATGTGTTTGGTTTTATACTCCTACTAAGAAAATGTATTTTTTCCCAGTCCTGTAATTTTTTGACTGAAATACAAGACAAAAAAACAAACAAATACCTCATATTCCAAGTAAAAGCATATACACTAAATATGTAAATATGTTCTAGTTGAACCTACCTCATCAGGGACCATAACCAAAGGGTACTTGTCTTCTGAGAGAAAATTAAAGAGGCACCAAAGCCGAAAAGCATCCTTCTCTGGCAGAACAGTGCTGCTGGTTTTATCCGTCTGGTAGTTTTTCTTTGCCGTAAGAGTCCAACAGAGTTCGTCTACGTTTTCCTTAATAAAAGAACCTTCAATAACCTACAACAACAAAATGCAAAGATTGTAAAAAACTGCATTCTTGACTACATGGCATTACAGTTTCACAAAATAAAAAGAGCATATGTATATGTGTATATATATGTGTGCTTTTATTACCTTATCCAGGATGTATTTGTTGAGGTAGGGCATATAACCCTGACTGGAAACTGGACCATCATCATCATCCCTGAAGTGCTCCTCTAAAGCCACGGGGTCATGTGGGATACACAAAACTGTGCACAGGTTGTGGGACAGGACCTGAAACATTTAAATGTACAGGACAGAAATATTATTTTTTTTTAAAAGGCCACACTAGAGCAAACAGATGCAGAGCTAGTTAGATAAATCAAATAATCTTTTTACTGGCACGAATGTTAATGTTAGATTATTGCCAAAACTAAATGACACACTTAAAATCAAGTGGATAGTTGTTTGTTTGCTGGGTTTGTTTAACTACAGGCCAACCAATTAAGAGATATAAGTTATGTTTTGAGTTTTACAGAACTGAAATTTTTTATTTTCCTAAGAATAATTTTGTTTGGTGTGAAAAAAGGTGTTAAAAAAAATATAAAAAAATGTGGGTGGCTGAAGTCAGCACGAAACGAGGAGGCGGTGACAGACAAACTAAAAAAACAGCGTAAAGACAAACAGTAAAACAACATGAAGTCATAACAATAAAAAATAGGAATAAAAGTTATATAAGAGAAATAATATAAATAAAAATTAAATAAAACAAAGAGAAGGAAATCAAATAGATATGCTAAAAAAGATGACATTACAAGCTATAAGTAACATAAACTTATTATTATATTATATATATTATCAGTGTAAAACTATTATTATTATTATTAGTGTACTACAAGTTTTACCATTAATGTGTCAAAAAGGATTTAACTTAATACAACCAGGCTTTTACTTTTACGTCAATACATTTCTTGAAATGAGAGTGTGCAACATCTTGAGATATCTGATGCATTTTATCAGACGTTTAGTCTTCGTTTGTTGAGCCATAACCACATCCTGTCTCCACTGCACTACACATCTGTCATTTCTGAGGCCTCGGCATGCAAACGGCTTTCTTCTAAAGAACATGGTGCCTGTACGCAAGCTGCATGCATGAGGGGGATAAGCCTAGTCATGAGGCTGACTCCCCGCGAGCCAAAAGCGGCAGGCAGCACATCGCAGAAACGTGGAGGTGGCTGAAAATGGAGTCCACACCGAGACCAAGTGACGTAACGATGAGATCAACAGAAATACAGTGGATTCATTGAAGCCTTGGGGCAAGAGACAACAATCACCAACATGTTTCCACTTTGTCCTTGCTCTAACTGTAACAATGTTCTTCTTACATACACAGGCTCATGGTGCGAAGATACTCTATTCAACAGGCTGTTTCTCTGCTCAGGTCCAGTGCCAGAGGACCCTTTGCACTACAAGCTGGTACATGGAGGCCCAGAGCAAGCACAGCTTGGAGATGAGGGCTCCCATTCATATACAGACTGAGAGCAAACTGTTACTCTCGTGCTCTTGCCACACAGAGGTGCCAATTGTGCCCTCTTCCAGCAGTGAAAGCATTTTACGCGAAAATATATGGAACAAATTTGTTCCTTGTTGCACAGCATGTGGTTTAAAGACTGAGTTTCACACAGGAAATAATGAAGATGATCAGTAATATTAGACTGCATAGACCATTATTTTCTAAAGCATTTAGGACCAAATATAACAAACAAACGGTGAACAAACACAGTTGTGACATTTAGTTTGCTGAGCTCTTCAAATATTTTCACCTCTTCTTCCTCAGAGCGAGCCCATGTGATTGAATACGAATTGAAAAGGAAATGAGGCAACATAGTAAAAAAGTGAGTGAGTTTTTTAGACTACAAAAAGAAAAGGTTTCCTAAAGTCCAGGTAGTCCACTCACCTTCAGCTGAGACTTGGACACCTTACCGCTCTTCTCCAGATCCAGGGCTGTGAAACCGTACCAGATGGACTTGAGCAGCTCAGACCGCAGGTCCATGTCTACTGCAGAGTTACTTTATGGTTTCCTCCTCTACGTCTCTTCTTCTTCCCTCTGCTGTTGACACGGCCCCTGGGTGACAGGCTGACACCCACGTTGTGTTGCTGCTGTCAGGCAGGCGTGGGGCTTTACCAGGCCACTGGCAGCGACACCTGCAGGGCTTCCACAGTCACTGACGGAGAGGGAGGGTCTGAGTGTTTTCTACATGTTCTGGTCCTGCCTTCCAGTGGTGAAAGGAAAATATTCAGATCATTTAAAGCAGAAACATTACCACAATATACAAATACTCCATTACAACTGTACTTAGTATACTTTAGTATTGAGAGTGTCCCTTTAAAACTGTTATATTCTCCCTATTGTTGTATGTTGTTACATTATGTGCTATTATTTTATCATTAAATTATCATTACTGATGCATTAAGGTGTAATCAGCATGTTGTAGGTGGAGCTAATTGTGTACATTGTTGGGTACTCAGTCAAATCTTAATCTGCACAATAACAAGAAACTAAGGTTGTTAAATTAATGTAGTGGAGTATGAATATGAAGTAACATAACGTGTAAAAGCTGGTGATAGTGTAGAAATTACAAGTTATTAAATGTGAATATGACCGGATGAGTCGAGATGTTACGTTTAAGTGTCTTAGAGGTATAAAGAAGCGTGTTTATTTTATTCCTACCTTATTATTTGTGAACTATCTTGTTTTCTCTCTTTGGTCTAACGTTAGCAAACGTTATAAAATAAGTTAGCTTTAGCTCGGGTTTGTAAATGACCTCTCATACATACAGCAGACATTTAACTTAAGCTAAACTTAACAATTAACTATAATGTTTGAGTCTTTTGCATTGTTTTAAAAAAATAATAAACAGACTAAAAGTACCTACGGATAAAGGTGGTTGCAGATGTCTGAATGAACAGCCACAGCTCACATTTTGTCCAGAGTGATTAATAAGATAATAATTACATTTATTAATAATAATAATAATATAGGTTCGTTAGTAATCAGTCTCCTGTCAGCTCCAATGGTGCAATAACAAACACCGCCCTCTAGAGGACATTGTAGGGAAAAAGTATAATTTATATGATTATACCTCCATCTCCTCATTCTGTGTCTATGAAGAGTCCTTAAAATAAAACCGATTCATGCAACAATAAAAGAAATGCTTACAAATTCTAGTGGCTGTTTCCTGACTGTAGCATACATTCATTAAAGGATGAAAATAAAATAAAATAAAAATAAGTCCAGTTGCTGAGGAAGACAGTGAGATTCAGTTGGAAGTACTGGAAAACTTGGTGTTGTAAACTTGTCAAACTACTGTTTTTTTTAGTTATTATTATTATTTTTATTTTATTTTGTATTGTTTTTATTATTGTTGTTATATTTCATACAGTTTTGATGTTTTATGCTTTGTTTTAAGTATTTATTTGTATTTCTTAACTTATATATTGTAGTGTTTATTGTTGCAATGGTTAATATACTTCTATATGTTAGTTATATATATGTGTGTGTGTGTGTGTATTTATATATGGACCCAGCAGGCCTCAATAAAGGTTTAATCGTTTCTATTCTTCCTGCAGACGGGAGAGGCCGCGGCAAAAAGCCATCACGTGGTAAAACAACTTTCGCGTCGTTACCATGGAGCTGTTTATGAAAGCCCGCTTTTCATTGGTCGACGACATTGTCATGGCCAACGTGCGCGCAGTCATTGGTTAATACGGCTTCCCACTGCGACCAATGGCGAGTCGCGCTTTTTACAAACTGCTGCGAGTCCAGGAAGTTGACAGCCCGCTGCGGTGAAAGGACTCAACAAGGGATCTTTAAATCCGCACAAAACGCCTGGAAAACCGGAACATTTGGGATTAATTGTATCAGGAATCCTTAATTGGACGCACAGGAGGAAGTCACAGAGGCTCGTTTCCATTCTGAAAGTATGTAACGTATGTAATAAACTGCTCCATGTAGCATGTACTAAGACTGGTTCATCTCACTGGAGTTAAAGCTGATCTATCTATCTATATAACGTTATATATATATATATATATAGAGAGAGAGAGATAGATATATCTTCTTCATGTTGGCTGTTTGTAACACTGTGTGCAGGCTTACCTACAAACCACTATGTGCTCCTTTGATCGGGCCAATAATGTCCTTATGTGATGCCTGATGAGTTTGTTTTACTTTACTTTTACTCTTCCATCGATGGTGTCATTTGGATGAATGGAGCCTTGCCTTTGTTGGCTTTCTTGTTTCTGTTGCTGTCCCATCTTTGGACCGATTAAATTGTGAATTGTTAAAGCTTTGAAAAGAATTTAACGTTTTGTTTCTGCTGGTGCATGGTTTATGTGTTTTGTTTACTTTTATACACACTTCTCTGTTGGCCTCTTTAGTGTTGCATGCTTGGTTGCTCAATTTTAATTTGCCCTTTGTTGCTCCTTCAGTTGTTCCTCACACCTTGCTATCATTATGGACTCCTCTCCAGTCCTTCGTCAGCAAAGTCAGAACAAAATCCGCACTGACTTTATGAGGTAAGCCAAATTGTGAAGTGCTAGTGCTTTATTTTCTCCTGCCTTTAGAGATTGATATCGAACCTCAGTGCTTTTTTTTTGGTACTGCTCGATATGCGTCAGATTATCAGAGAGAGTCAAGCACTAAATGTCCTGTCAGATTTGTAATATTGTTCACCTATTGTTCTTGACTTAAACTTGTGCCATGTTGTTCTACAAGACAAACATGTTTATGGTTCTCAAAGCAAGGCAGCAAGCATTCGTTTTGGTATTGATACCAAAACTCGTATTGGCTATAGTATCAATAAATATGAGCATGTATTATTTTGCAACTGACTGGTTTTCTCCACACAGAATGAAGAATGTACATAACAAAATGCCAGCACATCCAAAGCCTTCCAAACTCCTGTCCGCACCTCACCCTCCCAACCAGGATATTGAGAACAAGAATCCAGGAAACTCAGAAATCGATAAGAAGGCACCTGTGCGAGCAGGTGTAAGTAGGCTTCCAGTGCTCGCAAAGTCCCTTCGTCTTCAGACTCCCTCCGACTTCAGTCAGTCTCACTGTAGGTGGGAGGAGAAACCTCTGGCTGTAAGTGCCTCCTTCCCATCCTCTACATTGAAGTGTTTTTAATTTAATCCTTCCGTTCCTAATACTTTATCATTTCCTACAGGGGAAAACTAAGAAGAAAAAGCCGTGCACCAGGCCTATACCTTTCAACCTGTCGCAGCCCAAGAGCTCAAGAATGGCCACTGAAAACCAACAGCTCCTGACCGTTTCACAGTCAAGAACTGGCGCTCATGTTGTTAACAATGTATGCAATGGTCGTCTGAAAACCCAACACATTATTGCAAAACCTACTAAACATCCAGCTACCTTAAACAGCCACGTGGACTCAACCAAAGGTTCAGGGGAGTGTAATGGAAAGGCTACAGAAGAAAATGCACCCCAGCTGTCAGGACAGTCAGGGCCTTCCAACACATTTAAGGCTTCAGCCACTTTGTCCCATCCTCTCTCATCCCTTCCTGATAATGCAGTTCAACAGAGCGGCACCACTTCTTCTGCGAAGTCTGCTTTTAACGCAGAAGCCTGTTTGGATAACATGAACCGGCTCAGTCTCAAAGATCAAACCAAGACGTCCCATCCGAGTCAAAACACGCAGCTCACCGCGCAGGGCAATTTCTCCAAAAGTTCAACCGGTAAGTTGAGTGTGTTGTTGGGTTGTGCACAATTTTACAGAAGATATTTGTGTCCTACGTTAGCTTCTATGTAGATACATTTGTGTATGCATTCAGTTGCAAACAGGTTTAACACAAACAGTCCTCCAATAAATCTTAGCTTCAGGAAGGTTTATAATGTTCAGTTTTTGTTGAAGCTGTTACAGAGGTCTTAATTCAACTACGGTCATTTCGAAGGATGATAAAGTTTGTAGTGCTGTATTGCATTATACATGACTCATACATTGTCTGCCCCGTTTATTTGAGGAAACACCTCTCTGTGTAATGCAATATAGTTCAAGGGCACCACGAACTACAGCTTCCATCATAGAGGAAACAACATGAACAGTTTTATATCCTTCATGAATGACAGTCAGCAGTGTCTCTTATGTATTTCAGACAAAGTGGAGAACTTCCAGTCTGACCATGCGGCTTTGCTCAGTATCCTCCGGAATGAGGGAGTAAGTGCCACAGGTCTGGGATCTGCAACTCCACAGTCCAAACCCTATAACTATCTGGTGAGTTGGTTTTATAATTGTTGTTTACGGCCTTCTTTTCCTTTTCTTTTGGTCTCTACGCTGATGTGTTGTTATTGAAGTGTTGGTTTTTAATGGTTGTTTTTGTCTGAATAGTGATTTAATGTTATAAATCTTTAGAATGTGTTAAATAATCATCTGTGTGTTTGATGGTGATTCTCTTGTTTGTAGCCCAAGCGAGTGTCTGTCATGAAGAGTCAGCAAAAATCCGGACCCACTACAGGTAAACACAAGACTGAATGCATTATGTGTGCCTGAATATACAGGATGTGATCACAATGGATATAAAAGTGTTGTTAAATGCATTCACAAGGAAGAAATGTGACGTCTTCTCATTTCATTATAATTTTGTTTGGTTCAAACCAGTTACAGAATTGTGAAGTGACTTCCTGGTACATATATGTATTTGTAGGGCCGCTAACCTTTTATCCAATCACAGGAATATTTGGACATTTTGGGAAATACTATTATAGGATTTCTTGGCCAGGTGCAGTAATTTCCTGGAGTCTCTTCTGGTTGCCTGCCAAGTTACTGTGTCCAACCCACGGATGTATTGAAAGCACTGCATACTGAACACTAAAATTAGTCTCTGGAAGACTTTTGAAAACATAAAACCTCCATAAGTTATAACACAAAGTGTTAAAGTGACCTGGTCCTGTCAACAGTTTTATAAACATCTCTCTCTCAAGTAAAGTCTATGGGGAGAACACTTTTTGGTCTGCAGCCGATTTTTCTGTTCACTGCATCCAGCATCACTGGAGTTGGCAGCGAAATTTAGTGCTGACTCTGTATCCAGCTCTCATACAATACATTCATATCCCAGCCAAGAAACAGTCCAGCACATAACCCCATGAAACACTGCAACGTGACGTTTTTACACAGTAAAGATTTTTGTACAGATTAAAGAAACAAAATATAACGTTTTAATTAGTTAGCTTCAGCCAGGCTAGCTGTTTCCCCCTGTTTTCAGACTTTATGCTAAGCTAACTGGCAGATGGCTCCATCTTCATCTGTACCACGCAAACATAAGAATGGTATTTACCTTTTTATCTGACTTTCAGCAAGACGGTGAATTCTGCTTTTATTGTTGTTTTATCTATAGGATATCAACAATTAGGTCAAACAGCCCAAAGTGATGTCTTTTGACAACGAGATTTAGTACTTGTAAACCTGAACCGTATTCAATATTACTTTAGTTAGATGACAAACAATGCAATGTAAATTAATTGGATGTCAGTCTTGCGTGTCAATTGAATCTGTCCTCTTCGTGCTCGTCTTACAGGATCAATGAAGTTGGTGCAGTTCTCCCCGGACTCCGCTGCACTGCAAAGTATCCTGCAGAATGAAGGAGTGAAGGTCGGAGGGCCTGTGGGGGCCACACCCAAAAACTCTGCCCGTCCGTCAGGCAGAGGCACTTCAGTCTACACAGTACGTATACATTACATTTCAATACTTTTTTTTTTTACTTCTTATTTTCTTTGTCCTTTTCGTTTGTTACGTTGCTTTTGAATCCCAAACAGTTTAATTGACTGTGTTGCTTCCTTTCTCAGGCTCAGAGAGTGCCGGCTAGAAAGAATCATGCAGAGGCACCCGGAGGACCAGCAGGTAAGATGCAGATCTATAGGATATCAACAATTAAATACATATGCAAGTCAAAAGAGCTCAAAGGGATGTATGTCTTGTGATGATGAGAAACAGAAAAGTAGACTAATTTTAGCACTTGTAAACCTTATGAGTATTCAATATTACTTTGTTATGTATGAAGTTAGATAACAAACAATGCGATGTAAATTAATTGGTCAATTGAATCTGTCCTCTTTGTGCTCGTCTTACAGGATCAATGAAGTTGGTGCAGTTCACTCCGGACTCCGCTGCACTGCAAAGTATCCTGCAGAATGAAGGAGTGAAGGTCGGAGGGCCTGTGGGGGCCACACCCCTAAACTCTGCCCGTCCGTCAGGCAGAGGCACTTCAGTCTACACAGTATGTATACATTACTTTAGTTTTCACTGCAGCTCTTCTTCTCTACCTGTTGCATTTTTTTTTAGCTTATTATATTGCTTTTGAAACACACACACAGTTTCATTTGCTGTGCTGCTTCCTTTCTCAGGCTCAGAGAGTGCCGAATAGAAAAAACCGTGCAGAGGCAACCGGAGGACCAGTAGGTAAGCTACAGAAACGTTGTTCTCTTGTTATCTTATGGAACCTAATGCATCCTTATCTCTCTGTCCTTTTACCCTGTTGTGACGCGGCTGTTTTATCCTCAGCAGGAGTGCTCAAAGAGAGTCCGCTGAAGAAATGGACTCCACAGAGAGTCCGCGACACCAGGCATCAGCCCATGTCTGCTATGGTCGGTACAGGATATGTTCACACTCTGTCTGTTCGGTAGGTAGTGTTTCTCCCAGTCGCGCCCTAATCTGGTGATTGTTGTTTTCAGAAATGGCATCTGTCGACACATCAGTCACCATACGCCGGCACCCCCGGAGTGCGGGTGTGCAAAACCAACCCTCAGCCGTGCCAGGAGGTAAGAGCAGGAAATCATGTCTATTTTATGATGTGTTTAGAGCTTATACACAAATGTGTCTGAAAGACTATCAAAAAAAACAAAAAGAGAAACATCATCTGTGTGTACAGATAAAAATGTGGAGTAAAAAAATGTTCTTGAAGGGTCTTTCAATAAATTCAAGGCAGCTACAACAAGGGCTTTATAGCTACTAAATGATGCAGCATTTTAGAAATGTAAAGGCGAGGCTTTAAAAACAAAGCAGCCTGTGTTTTTAGGATTAAGCCGAGGTCTTCGCCTTACCAACTGTTGGTGGGGCAGAAGTGTTTCTGTAATAAAATGGATATATCTCTATATATCTATATATCTCTCTGTAGGTCTGAAAATGCTTAAATATAAACCTCAGGAAGAGCCACAGAGGAGGGTTCCCTCTCCTAGAATGCACAGACATGCAATACATGTCACAAGTACAGAGCAGACCATCATATCATATCACATCACGTCATAGAAAGAGAGGGGAAGAGAAACTTGGAGGCATGTGGGAACAGAAACAAAAAGACAGTTGGAGAAATGCAGCGTTTTTTCGAAAGATTACAGTTGTCTTCTCGTCGGCAAGACAAATCTGGACTATAAGGACCAGGATTAAGAGATTAATTGAGACGGAGACTGGCCCACCGAAAGGATAATGGTATCAGCTGCAAGGCCTAAACTAATCTGAGAATAGGCACAAATTGAAAGCTAAGGTGATCAAATGAGATTAACAGAGTCCGATTGTCTGAAGTCAGCAGGGAGGTCGTTCCAGAAGAATAATGTCGTTGTTAGTTGGGAAAATTTGGATTTAACAACTGAGATATTCAGCCCTGCAAAACCTAAGACAGCCGTTGGACAATGTTGGGCCATCGGTGAGCGTCTGTAGCACATGTTTCTGCTGTGTGTTCTGCAATGTTGGCACTTGTCTGCCCTCGTCTGTGGATTTTCCATCGGTGGGAAAAAATCACTCTGATTGGCTGTTAAACGAATCAGAGGAACAGAAGTGAGCAAAGCTGCAAACAACTTCATCAAGAGGGCACGCACTAAAGGATCGTCTAATTTTTCAACCTCACCCAATCTGATCACTCCATTACACAGATATTTTAACAACAAGCGGCTGTTTTACAAAACCGTCTGAGTGAGAGCGAGCGAACCTACATCCATACGGCTGATTTTGTTTATATCCGCAGTCCTCAGACTTCTGATCGAATGCAGACTACCACCACCTGCTGAAAGTTAATGGCGATGACCACTGTTGCATTGAATGAGACCTCTTAAAATGGAATAACTACAATACATTGCAATGTGTGACATTATGCAATAGTTACCATCAATCATATTTTTCTTACCAGAAACAAATATATTGAGCTCTGTATCACTATTGATCTGTCTTCCTTGTTTGTTAGCAGGAGGTTGTCCAGAGATTATTTGATGATCAAGAGGACGAGCAGAGTGCGAACGTGACAGACAAAGATCCTGAGACACAAGCAGAGCAGCTCCCAGTTCGAGCCACGACTGTAAACCTTACAGCCATACAGAGATCCATATTCAATTAAGTTCTTGTTATTCATTTAGAATATATCATAAAATCATTGTATTGTATGCTGTTTGTTGTCCCCCCTCACTCCTCCAGACTAAATCCCACTGTGAAGAAAAGGTAAAGACGAGCAGCGACGAGGACGAGGACGAGGAGCAGAGGATTGTGGGAGGACAGCCATTCCTCCAAGCACCGCAAAGAGAGTCTGTCATTTTTTTCTCAACGGGAAAAAAGCTGTTAAGAGCCCCACGTTTTGTGCAGCAGGAGAGCTCGGACCATCACGAGCAGCATGGCCCGTTTTCATCAGAACAGAGGAAGGTGCTGCCAGTACACGAAGAGGCGTCGCCTGTGTCGGAACCGACCAGTCGTATCAACCCTCCTGTTCAGAGTCTGCACAGAGGTAACACTGACATCTCACCCTCCACACGATGATTAATCTTCTACTGTTACACAAGCACAGAATTGTGATATATTATTATTATATTGCAGGCCACATTGTTCAGAAGACTTGTAGTCTGAGTCCTGCAGTGGCGATGCTGCGTAAGCGTCTTCCTCCTCTGGAAGAGCTGCGCATGGACGAGGAGGTGGCCACCTACACCTCGGCGTCTGTCCTGGCTACTCCTGGGTTTCTCCCCTCTCGGCCCCGCTGTGGAAACCCGCTGGCCTCCATCCTGCACTTTGAAGAGGCCTCTGTGAGTGCACGTTCCATTTTTATGTTAAATAAAACAACCAGCACAGGTCATCAGAGCAAAACATTCAAATGGCAATTTATTTTGACAAAATAATTTGTATCTCTGCAATATGAAAATGTTATAAAACAGCATATATTCCAAAAACTAATAAGACTAACAGTCTACAGCCATGCCATAGGCTCTGTGAGGCTGTACTTAGGCAGAGCGATGCGTTAAGCTACATGCTAACATAACAGGTAAAGTTTTTACCATATTCAAATCTGCTAATTAGCACTAAACACAAAGCACAGCTGAGGCTGATGGAAAGTGGATACATTGATGTTGTTATATGAAAGGTTGAGGAATCACTAAAGTTATTAAAATTCATCAAGAGCAGAACAATTATTGTCTGAACACGATTTCATGGTCATTTCACTCAAAAACCACAAATATCAACTTTATGGTGGTGCTAGAAGAAAAATCAGAGGATCAACAGAGTCAGCGGGTTTCATCCTCTGGAGACCATTAATATCTGTACAAACTTTAATGAGAATCCATCCAGTAGAAGTTGAGATATTTCAGTCACAGCCACCCCTAGAGCCACACAGTAAGAACTAGAAACAAGACTGACTGTGTAAAGCCTTGTGGACCCTGGAATCACCCCACAACAGTGACCACTTTCCTATAATTAAAGCCCTGCCATTAGTGTGTTGTGAGGGTGGCACTAGAGGAAATGTCATGTGATTATTAAGATCATATTAGGTTTTGGTACATATTGTTCTGTGTTTTAAGCATTGATGAGTCGAATCTATCAGGTTTAATCTCTGTTGACTGAGTGCAGATACTGTAGGTTAACGCTGTGCCACAGTTCCACATTACATTCAAGTGAAGCTTATTTCAGTATGATGAAACGGAGTGTGGTCAGTGACATCCTAGACTGCACATAGATCTGTCAAACATTATGCATATGCACAGACACACAATATAAACATCGATCTTCGTTTTGTTTTCCAGAGATTTGTTCCAATCGGCTGCGATCTCTCGTCTGGACCTTCCTCTCCACAGAGCTCTCCACTGCAGGAGAGATAACTTGCACTACAAGTACAGTATTTGTTGTACTGTGAATATCCAGAGTGGATAAGCTTACTCTGAAACTGAACTTTTTTTCTTTAATGGAACTCAAGTGATGTTTGTCCAACACTGTTGTTACTGGCCTTAAAACAAGTCCAAAGAAAGCTGCTGGTGTTGTTTTTTAGAAACCATCAACCTTTTTGTCCTATAAATGTTAATGATAGCTGTTAGTAGATGCTTTCTAAAAAATAAAATAAAGGTTATTTCTGTTTAATAATGCATCTTTTACACTGCAGGCACTCATGTAGATGCACAATTATTAGAAACAATGTCTATGACTGAATCAAGAACGAATTATTGAAAAAATAAATGTTTAAAAGGTCACTGAAGACTCTGGATGTAATCAGTGTTATAGCTACAGTAAACATATAGATTAGAATGATCAGAGCATTGATATTGGATGTTTTTTAACACCCCAGACTCTTTTTGTGCGGGCTGATTAATGTTTTTGATGTACAGTGTTTATAATAAATTTCTATATGTTACTGTCTCGCCATGAATGATTTTTTTCTCTTTTATATCAGTAAATAGATTTTTCTGCTGATACTCAGAGACTGTTATTAATTAAATAATGAATTAGGATATATCGGCCTCTGCTGCTTTGATTTTGACCACTTTTTTTTTAATCCGTCTCTTCTGCAATACTAATTCTCTTTAACGATCTTCACTATAATCATGTTTTCTTTTGGATGCTACCAGAGTCTCTTATTAGAACTTCAGGCAGTTATTTATGCTGACTCACAATAACTCCTCAAGCATAAAGATGTGGAAAACGTCATCTTTATTGCATGAAACAAGATACGCCATATTGTCTTTCATTCTCCAGACTGCCTCTGGGCCAGATGTAGAGTTCAAGCCCTTTCCTGGTAACATGTTACAAGGTGCACATATCGACCTCATGTTAAATCATGAGACACAGTATCCTGTGTAGAGAGTACTGTACTGTATGTAGTATTAATACCACATACAGTACAGTGCATATGCAATACACCCTGCTGCTGAGTCAGCTTGACTCTGTAATCTAAAACATAATGACAAGAAACCAAAGAGATGAATTCAAACTTTATCTTGTGTGGCAAACTGTTAATAATAAAAATACATCTAAAGATATTCAATTCACAATTATATTAAAGGAAGAAAAGCTTTCACATCAAGCTGATAGATCCAAAATGTGAGACTTGAGATTAGTTGTAGCTGTTTTAAGGTATAGAAAGTGACAGTTTTCCTTCAGAATCCTTCAGAATCCTCGTACCATTTTGTAGCTTTGAATGTATTAATTACAAATGATTAATGATCCTGTCACATGAGTGTCATGTGCATTGCATTTCCCTGTCTAACTGTCCACTGCAGGTGGTAAACTCGGCTTGATGTATATTTAGTAGAGTTGTGTGATTGAGTGGTGGAGGGTGTCAGTGGGAGGGGGCTCGGGGCAGGATTAGGAACAGTAGTCTATAAAGCCCGTGCCTTCACTTGTGCCTCCTCTGAGGAACAGAGAGTGAAGGAAGAGCAGCAACACAGTCTTCTTTCTCCTTTTCCCTTCATTGTCTGCCCCCCTGGGTTCCTCTGGAAACATGTCCAAGAATGTGCACCCAACCATGGACCCCACAAAGATGGGGCTGGGACGCTCCATCGCCGTGCTGACGTCAGGCGGAGACGCCCAAGGTAAGCAGAGGCTCCAATATTTTATGACAGCTTTTATTTTGAGCTGTTAAAACCAATTGGGCTGTCCACCAATTGAGCCAGAGGAGGTAGAAGCTGTCTGGACAGCATCTTCCCTGCTGATGTGTCCGAGCACAGCGCTGAATCCCAACCAGCTGTAGAAGCCCTGGCCTCCATCTTACGAGAGAGCCAATAAAGTATCATGTTAATGCTCCATGACATCCCAAGTAAGTTCAGGAGCCAAGGAACAGAAAGGGCAAGCAGCATGTTTAGAGTGGCACAGATGAAGGCCAGCTGTCAGAAATTGATGGATGTTTGGCTGTAAATCCTATTTGAAGTCTGCATGATAAGATTATGTCACTACCAGTGGCTAATGTATATTTCAGCAAAACTCCTAAGGTCCTTACAAATGCCAGACAAAACCCAAACACTCTCACAGGTGACTAAAATTGTGTTGCAGATAAAATATATAAACTTTACAAATCAAGTGTGTTAATATATCATCCATACAGGCTGTGTTTTCCATTGTTAAACCTACAAACTGACATTACGGTCCTGTAGACAGTTACTCCATTACCAGTACATTGAGTCCAACTGGACGATGTGTCATATTCCTGTACGATCTTCCTTTCCAAGCCTGACTCTGACCCTTTGTGTGGAGGCTTTATCTGCCCCGGCGTTCCCCTTTTTTGCATCATTAGAGCTAATTTTAGTGCTGCTGACCTTTTTCTGGTATGGAGGAGAGAAACACCCCCCCATGCACAGCTGCTGTGTGGTGAAACAAGAGCTGCAGCATGCCAGCCTGCCACAACACAAGCTTACACTGTGGCCTTTAGTGTACCGGGCATCCAGTGCCCGGTACACTACAGTCCCTGAAACTCCTGTCCTTTCCTGATGGCTATTTTTGCCTCATCTTTTGCCAATGCACAGATCAAGTCATTTAAAGGTTAAGATGGGCGTGTGAGTTTTAAGCCTGACATCTGATAGGAAGTGTTGCACAGAATCTGACATTGTCTTATCATGTGAGTAACTAAGATCATGTTATTTGTGTGTGTGTCAGGTATGAACGCAGCTGTGAGGGCCACAGTCAGAGTTGGTCTCTACACCGGAGCCAAAGTCTACTTTGTTCATGAGGTACAGGCTGCACACAGGATACAGTTCATTGACATGTCATAATATTGCAAATGAAAACAACACAGGGACTCTTAAACCTATGACACATGTTTTGTATGTGTTACTAAAGAGCATTCAAATTTTGTTGCAGGTAAATCAGTACGTATATCAGGCAAACCTGTATCTTTAATCAACCACAGTGTTTGTTAACATGTGCTGCAGGGCTACCAGGGTCTGGTGGATGGAGGAGAAAACATTTGCCCCGCCACATGGGAGAGTGTGTCCATGATGCTTCAGCTGGTGAGCGACATACAGTCGAGTAAACACACACAGAAACACAGAAACACAATACAAACTACCCAGAGGAGAACCACATGTTGTTTTTGTAGTGTAGACACTAAAACGTGCGCAAATATTCAAGTGTGAAAGACTTGTGTAGTGTTTAATTATTTTTTTAAAGGGTCAGTTCACCCAAAATGCATTACCTTTACTGTTGTCTAGTTATGCAGTTTGTATTAGTTGTTTTCTTCATTGAGGAATCCACGTTTTATAATTGAGATCCAACCACATTATCATATTAGAACAGAACAGAATCATACACAGTACAATGTGAAATGTGTCCTCTGCATTTAACCCATCCTAAGTACAACCACTATACAGCAACATTAACATTAACATTAACAATCACTGTGACCATCACACACAAACTTCCATTAACCTTCATCGTGTTGAGGTGGCAGCAGCAGACTATCAGTTCAATTCAGTTCAGTTCAACAGGCTTTACTGGCACAATTACAATGATAACAATGTTAAAGAATGAAATGAACAAAAATGTGAATAGTTAAGAAAAAAAATAGATAATAAAAATAGGTAAATATATACAGTATGTAAATAATCAAGTTATTATGAAATCAAATCAAGTTATTATTAGTAACATTTACTTATTCATATCTAAAAACTAGATAAAAGTGACCATATCTACGGTAGTAGGTTTTTGTAATTTGGGTGAACTGATCCTTTAACCATTAACACACCTTCTCCACTTGTAGTCAAGAGCTTCCCCTGGCGTCTCACAACCTCTATAACATCAGAAACTGAGTGGTGATATTAAACGGATGCCGCGGCCCTGTGACTGAGGGATGATGGAAATGCAATAATACTGTGAAGCTTGTGATTCACATTGCTTTCTGTCATCTGTGTTGTATAAATAAAGAGGCCTGGCAGCAGCAGAGAAAGGCTGACATGATGAGATTCATTAAGTGGGTGAAAGTGAGCAATGGACTGGGAATGGGCCATGGCAGATTTCTAGGATATCACTTCTAAAGTGCTGACCTTATTTACTCAAAGCGTGACGTGGCTTCACTTGATGTGGCTTCAAGGCATCTTAATGAGTCTAATTCCTCAGTGTTATAAAGCTGCCCTGGTGCACACCCCTCCATGATTACAGCAAGAAAATGTGTGTGTATCAGTAGCTGATTTAAAAACAGCTTCTCCTCTGTGTGTGTGTTAGGGAGGTACAGTCATTGGCAGCGCCCGCTGCAAGGACTTCCGCTCCAGAGATGGTCGTATGACAGCAGCTTGCAACCTAGTGAAGCTGGGCATCACCAACCTGTGTGTGATTGGAGGTGACGGCAGTCTGACTGGAGCCAACGAGTTCAGGACTGAGTGGAGCGGACTGCTGCATGACCTCGTCCGAGCTGGTAAACAAACATAGTGGATCTGAGAATAATAAATCCATTTATCCCGACAGCTGTGTCTGTCACAGTCTCAGTACTGTGTCGGTCAATTCACCATTTTGGTCCCTTAAGATAAGATTTTATACAGACATTCATGGTCCCCAGAGGATGACTCCTAATGACTTTGGTGATCCACTGAATTTTACTGTCTATTGGATGGATTACCATGAAATGTTCCCCTCAGGAATGTGAATAATTTCCTGATTTTTCCTATAACACCATAATCAACTCAGATGTTTGTCCAATATTTTGTTTTTTTTACCAAATACCTGCAATCCAATGATATTCCCACCAGCCTCCGCTTTAATCTGTGCTTTGTGCTATCAGAAAATGTTCACCGTTAACATTATACCTGCTAAATACTGTGAGTAAATACTGTGTTAGTTTGCAGCCAGTGCAGCCTCACAGAGCCTGCAGCATATGGCTGTTGATTGTAAAAGTCTTGTTTAGGTTGTATTGCTTAACAGTGAATCTCAGTGGAATTAGTTTTTGTTTTATGACCAGTTGTTTTGCAAGGTATTAATTTAAACAGATCAATAAATAACACTGCTAATACAGTTCGTCCAAAAAAAACAGGGATGTGTGAGTAAAGGAAAAGAAAATAAGATTATGTTTTTCTTCATAAATGTTACTGTCTACTTTCTGCAGGCAGGATTACAGATGAAGAAGCCAAGAAATCTTCCCACCTGAACATCGTAGGTATGGTGGGATCTATCGACAACGACTTCTGTGGCACCGACATGACCATCGGCACCGACTCCGCCCTGCATCGCATCATCGAGGTGGTGGATGCCATCACCACAACTGCACAAAGGTCAGAGAAGATCCACTTATTCACCAGGGATTAAATTAGAGAACAGCGGCAGTAAAGAATGTTTGTTTTTAATCTTATTTAATTCCACTTTAATTTCCACGTGTTCAAAATGCTCTCTGTTCATCCACAGCCACCAGAGGACCTTTAT